TTACAAATATTTGTTTACATTTATTATAAAGGTCGTAGGTTCGAGTCCAATGTGTGGGATCATGGTTTCATACTTCTGAGGAGTCCCATACTAGGATAAAACGGTCATCTAGTGCTTCCAAGTTTACAATAGTGATCTAGCTTATATGAACTCATACATTCAACTGCTAAATACTACAATCTCCACAAAGCCCCATGATGACAATTAATTAATTCATCGAAAGGGGTTTTTATGGATATTATAGTAATTTTAATGGTTGAGATCATGACTTAATTGAAGCTAGATCACCATGGAAAACCTGGAAGCACTAGATGGTCATTTCGTCCCATTAAAAGACTCCTCAGCAGTGCGCATCCACGACCTTGCCTTGCGAGAATCAAACCAAGAACCTATGAGTCTCGCGCGCGAGCGCTTAACCACTAGATCACTGACCGGCCGATATCCAACGGTATTAATGTCTAATTTCAATTAATCCACGAAATTGAGCGACACATCTACCATTGTCTTCAGTGAGTTACTATCTCACAACAGACCCAGTTGAACTCCACTGGTCATTGCTTCTCACTAGAACTCCAGGAAATTCCTCTTGAAGTCAGTCACTAGTGAGCATATGTTGATTCATATCAGAAGGGTTTTGTGGATATTATAGTAATTTCAATGGTTGAGATCATGAGTCAATTGAAGATAGACCGGGTCTGTTGTGAAATAGTAACTCATTGAAGACATTGGTGGATGTGTCGCCCAACTTCGTGGATTATTCGAAGTTAGACATCAACACCATTGGATGCCAACCAACTCAGTGTTGCAGAGGTTAGTTGCTAATGCGCGAGACTCATAGGTCCTGGCCTATAATTTCACGAGGCGAGATCGTGGATACGCACTGCTGAGGAGTCCTACGATAGGAAGAAACGGCCGTCCTGTGCTTCCAGGTTTTTCATAGTGGTCTAGTTTTAATTGACTCATAATCTCAACCATTGAAATTACTATAAAATCCACAAAACCTCTTCTGATATAATAGTTTCTAGTTTTTAGACATGTTACTATATGATTATTCAATGATAAAATGTTAAATCTAACAAGACTTATCAAATATCGATTCCAATAATTGTAGTCACCAAACATGTAACGGATAAAAATGTGAGCATTCAAACTAAACATATCATGTGATGATGACAAGCGATATGATTTGATCCGACAAGCCATTTCAAATGAAGTGATTTTTAAGTATATCATGAAGTAGTTGAATTCAATTAGATACAATGCAAACTAAATTATTCATTCTGTTTTTTCTCCATTCTATTACGATGATTTTCAAGAACTACCACGGAGACTCTAGAAGCTCTAAAGAAGATAAAAAGTTTCCATTCAATCAGAACGTGATGGGGTTATTGACAATATCAACGTAGTATGCTACTATTAGACAGTAGCATAACATGCCTCTTTGTGGATTGATTAGATTATAATGTTGATATAACAAATACTAATATTTATGAATACCCATGATTTTCTGCACATTTTGATTCTTACCCAATAAACACTACTCCAGTGCTCTTGTCTTTTGATTTGCGACTATGAGGGTTCCATACGTTCGAGTGTCGTAGTTGTATACTGTATTCTGCGTTAATCAAGTAGCGAGCATAACACATTCAAATGATATTAAACAAAACGTCGATAGAGTGACATCCTTTTATTACTGCAGCAAGAAGATAGAACTTCTAAATGATAGTTTCCATATCATACCAACCATTCATATACAAAGATACATAGACCAATGATTAGTGCAAAAGGTCTTTATAAATTTTGTTTATTTATTTGTTTGAACATGTAAACATTGGTACAAAGGGGCATCGAATACATATACACCACACAAATCACTTGATTTGTGTGTGGGCTGTGATACTGCCCGGAGGCCCAGACCAAAGTAGGTGAATTTCTTAGAGAGCCACACCCAGAGCCTTCAACCTAATGGTCTAATCCACAAGGCAACGTCAGGAAATGCAGTCTCATTGTAGTCAGTGTTCAATAATTGGTTTATACTCCATTTGTTCCCTTAGGATCCTGGAGCCCATGTGCACCTTTGGTTTGGAATCAGAGCTTTCCAACTTCTCTAGGTGGACCCTTCGTGTCTACCAACCCGGTTAAAGCACCGGACACTCAATTTTCGTCCTCTCAATTTCGTAAACAACAGTAATGCCGCGAAAAGGCAGTGAGTAAGACTTCCCTGGTAGTGACTGTATACAAATGGCCATGTGAAAGCAATTCGAGAGGGAGAGCTAACTCTTCCCACCCTAGGCCGTACCAGAACATTTGGGAGCACTTTTCTTTGGTAAAATCGAATAGAAGTCTAACAAGCGATCGGATCTCTTGGTTTCCATAAATGAGTAATCAATAATCTGAATTATGGTCAGTGGATAGAAATCAGGCCAAAGCTATTGTTCTTTCCTTTTTTCATTATCTTCAATTATTATCCCTAAATTATTAAGCGGATTGACTATCAAACAATTATCTTATCCAACTGATATTCTTCTCTCTCTTTTTTGATGACACAGTTGGAAAATCAATTCAATAAACAGCATGAAATAAACAATATTTTTGCCTTGTTTAAATTATTGAACATTGAAAAAAATATATTCGAACTGCAATCGATCAATTGCTTGTTGACATATGTGCATCCTATGCGAATTACCTCGATATAACCTTAAGTCACAAGCTTTATAAGCAAAGATGGATGGTCGTGGCTAGCAATGGAATCTAGTTCGACATGCGTTCCATCTTATTTGCGACTCGTCAGCTAGATGCATCTGCATCTCAGAGTTGTTGTTCACTCTCGGACTCCAACTCAGTAACGTTCACTTCGAACACCGTCGCATGGTTCACTTATCTACTGAAACCTGATAATATATTTGTGCGATACATTTCAAACAATCTGATCATACATAATATACTCGTTAAGAACTGGACTAAACTAGACTAGATTAGATTAGACTAAACTAGAAATGAAGGTTAAGAGAAGACAAGGATAATAAACAAGATCATATGAAAGACAATGTGGAAACTCATCACTAATATTACCAGGCTATGGTTAACGTGAGAACAAACTGTTTTTGAATACACAGTAGAGGTTTGGATTCTCGTATGGTTAAGGATTCAATAAACCTTAGTATACGCCATTTGATACTTTTGTACAACACCACCAAAAGCCAAGTTAACATCAATCTTATCACCGATTTCAATTATGTGTTTGACAATAGAGGATGATGGATATTTATCCTCTACTCTTATTGAGTCATTTGATGATTCTATTTGTTTCTGCAATCATTTAGCTACATGTTCACACACCCTAATTTTCAGATCACGATTACCCCTCCACCTTATGTATGTGTAACCACACACACACAAACAAACATTTAAATTGATAGACACAGTGGCATGTGACACTACTGTTTTCTTGTCTTTTAGGTTTTCGATGAAGCACGAATCTTGTTGTTTCCTTGATAATGACCTTCACTGCACAATATGTCTTGTTAATGACTGACTTAAGTTTTTATTTCAGTGAAAAGGCTATTTGAATCACCTCTGAATGGTAAGGTGATGCAGATAGGATTTTTCTCTACCAAAGCTATAATAGGTTTCACTGGATCGTCAACATTTTGAACCCGGATCGATTGTTTAGAAGGCAGCCACAATAACTGCTACAACACGGTCACGACTTCATGGGGTTGATGTTATGATTTTATCTAACAATTTTTTCTTACAATAAAAGAACTACATAAAACGTTTAAACAACACAGAACTGATGAGCAATGTAAAAGAACTTACACTTCGAAATATCTTAATTTAACTATGAAGATGAATTCGATTTAAATCGATATATATTAGTACAAAGGGGCACCAAATATATATGTGCCACACAAGTCACTTCGTTTGTGCGTGAGCCGTGATACTGGTCGGGTGCTCAGACCGAAGCAGGTGGTTTTCTTAGGGGGCCACATTCAGAGCTTTTGACCTGAAGGTTTAATCCAGAAGGCAGTGGAGCAACTTCAGGAGATGTAATCGCATGGAATAGTTTCACATATGCCATTTGTTCGCCCAGGATCCTCGAGCCCATGTGCATCATTAGTTTGTATTAAGGGTTTTCTAACTCCTCTAAGTGGATGCTCCATATCAACCAACCCGAATAAAGCTATGGATATTCGCTTTTCGTTCTCTCAATTTCGTAAACAACATCCCTCGCCACGAGAAGGTAGTGAGTGGGAAATGAAATCAATGTTGATGTTAACATGATCGTAGTACTAATATTTAAACTGGTATGAACTTGAGGAAGTTTATTTATTCATTGAATTAGCAACGTACATTATGTTGCAAAACGTTTAAGAATTCAACCTACTACTTATAAGTGTGATGTGTGCTACTGATTTCGATAGATACAACTAGTATGTATTATCAATCACAAGTGAAATGCCTAAAATCATCAATTTAAATCTTACCAGTTACTGTCTATATATTCATTAACGACTATTTGCAAGTCCATATATATTAGAAGAGTGAATGAGATTTTCGTAATGAGCGGACGTCAATTTACGATTTCAGATCAGATATCGAGATTGATTAATGAATCCTTATGGTTAAAGTTCTCTTCCAATCTACTCCTACACAACTAAACATCGCAAGTCGAGGCAGTCGGTAGTTGGGCATACGTAACACGTGTCCCAGCCATCTTAACTGATGAAGTTTCACTACTTCATCAATGGATTTGCTATCCTTACCTAGTACCCGTTTCCTAACAACTGCGTTACTTACTCGATGGTCTCAGGATATACGAACAATGTTTCGAAGATACCTATAATCAAATACTAGTAACCTACGAATATCCTCTACTCTTACCGGTCATGTTTCACTGCCATTCTATTTTTTTAGTGACCATCTATCTAACTAACCACTTGGTCAAGGTTATCATGAAGAAAATCAAACAACTTTTTAAAAACTACATCTATACTTACCATGAGCAGCTTCAAATATGCTATGAAGATGATGTTCTTTATTTTCCTTCTGTTCAGTGATTCCATTATTACTAACATTATTATCATCATTAGAACTATTGGACTTGAAGAGTGATTGTTGACAAAATTCAATCAAATCTATATACATCAACCAAGGTGAACAATTGATCAATTCATGATCTATATTACGATAGGCAGCTTCAGCATGTATTACATTTCGTACAGATTGATGATTTTCGGAAATAAGTAAGATATTAGACTTGTCAATCGACAATAGATCATCTAGTACTCCATGATCTTTTAACCAATGTGAAATCTGTAATTAAAATGTCGACAAAAATTACTGATATTACAGAGTAATATAAGTCAGAACTCGTTCATTAATCAAGATTAAATACAATAGATGGTTATAATGGAAGAATATTAGAAGGTATTCCAAATTTTAAAAAAAGAAAGTAAAGTATGTTGGAAGGAAGAAAGGTGGACTGTAAAAAGTGGTCGGTCGGTGTCAAACTAGAGATAAAGATTTGATCTATTTTTATTGTGTTCCAAACGCTTCAATTTATCTCGTTGACATGGTCATTATTTGAATATTGAAATTGGAAGAATTAAATTCGGAATGTAAAGACATATTCACTGACTATTCAAAGTTTCAACAGGAAATTCTGGACTTAGGTTACGTGCTATCTGGTACTCGTCAGCAAGAAACACTTATAATCTTGAGGGAATTGATGCCCCATGACGGATTCGATCCCGTGCCATTCGATTCCACAGTCAGAGACGTTACCACTAAGTTATCTATACCCGACCTAGATTCAGGGTTTCCTATTGACTACATCCAAATATCATCTTAGCGCAATATAGTGCACACAATGTCGAGTCACCTAAACTGGTGGCCACATTGTAACTTGGTCGATAGGATTCGATCTGAAATAAGAAGGATCTGACATACATGACATTTGATCACTACCCCGTGGTGATTTCCCTACAAAAATCATCATCAGAAAATAGATTATTATTTACAACAATCAACTCTAGTCAAACGATTCAGCGTATACTAATTGTTGTTCATGTGATGAATAAATCAATATGAGAGTGCGTGAATAAAAAAGTATATTTTAACAGATTCAAACAGTATGAGTGTACTTTTAATCCAAATAAAATAGATGATATTGAAAAGTTATACTTTACTTTGAACAGAGTACGTACTAAGACTTTAGGACCTCATCAGTATGGTTAAGGGTTAATAATATCTCTTAAGGGTTATAATTTACTAAATTCTCCGGTTCATAGTTAGACATTAACACTGTCAGATTCCGGCTCAGTGATCTAGAGGTTAGGTGTTCGCGCACCAGACCAAAGGTTCTGGGTTCAAGTCCTGCATGCGGAATCGTGGATGCACACTTCTGAGGTGTCCCTTACTAGAACGAAACAGCTGTCCAGTGCTTCCAATAGTAGTCTAACATTGATCCATTCATGATATCGATCTAAATTCAACAATCTCCACAACCCTATACTGATAGTAACAGTCATAAGTAAGTAATATGCAGCATTGACTACTGAAGCACTACAATTTAATATCTTTTTATTCAGTCGTTCATTGTTGTTGTAGGAAAACTTTCACCTAGATCAACTTACACGTACGGAATAACTACAATTCTTTATGTATAATTATATCAATTGAAATGTTATATCTAGAGCTTAAATTCCTAATATACCACGTATAACTTGAGCACTCGGTCCACGGGTGAACTTGAGGAAGCTTTAAGCAGCTCAGAAAGGGACAAAGATATCCCATCCCCGTCGCCAGTTGTTATATTTAGAGCTTAGATGCTTAATATACCACGTATAACTTGAGCACTCGAATGCTAGAACACTCCCAAGTCGCAAATGAGTAGACAGAAAACAAGTGAAAGGAATGCTATTCCAATCAATGTCAATTATAGTACAAAAACTGTCAAGTATTTATAATTTTTAGTGAAAATGAAAACATCATTATAATTATCCAATCCGCACACAGGGGGTTCTTAGCATTTGTCCAATAGGGAAGCTACACATGGTGATTCTGGAATATTCTTCCAAGAAAGCTGATTGGATGGAATATCTTCGGCTCTTTCTGAGCTTCTTAGAGCTTCCTCGAGTTCACCCGTGAACCATTCTCACATAAAAAATAAAACCTTATTTAATATTTGAAGATGATTGTATCATTTATCGATAAATTGAGAAACGTTCACTATAAATAAAAGATTATCTCACCTTAATGATTGATTCTTTAAAGCTTAAACCTTGTATTTCATATTCTGAAATATCCAGTAAACCAGCAGCATCTAATGCTTCTGTAGAAATATTCACACCATGTATTGTTGAAGTGTATTTAGTTGATTCAACTGAAGGGATAAATTTCCCTATGTTACTAGGTGGTAACTCATTGATTTTATTATTGCAACCATTACAATGAGATAGAAAATAAGAATCTAATTTCAATTCATGATTGGTGCTAATATTTGATTGTAATTGAGATTTATGATTGATTAGATCTACAGAAGATCGATAGATTCGTGTAAAGTTTTCAGGCCGAATAGAGATTTTGATCCGATCAACAATCTAGAAATTTGTGAAGATAATAAAAAGAGATAAGTTTTGCAATGTACAATGGGTAGTTTGAAAATAGTTGACGAAAGTCATTGACTTTGACATTTCATACTTGTCAAAACAAGGGCCTCAATAAATGTAGAACAATGGAAAATATCACATTGATTCATGTTGTCATCCCTTAAAACGTCTAGGCAACTAGATTATACATCAGAATGAATGAAAATAACAACTAATGGAAATGTCAGAACCAATTAGAGTAATTCAAAAAGAGAATATGTCTGCCAAACCAAAATGTGGCATCAGTGCATGAAGTCATTAACTTCTAGTCTTAGGCATGTTGGTAGATGAAGACTATTTGGTTGGGGTCCGCACGACTATCGTAACCAATGGTTGGAGACTCTTGGTGACATGGCTCAGAATCAATCAGAATGGCGTAGGTGTATACACTCTCTATCTTCCCTTAAACTAAAAGATTAAAATCGCTTCATATCGTTCTTTCTATGAACTAATTCCTTCTTTCTGTACTATATCCTTATATGGAATTTTTCTTTTATATATTACCACCATTGAGTTAATTGCTCTTATGAATCCGGTGTTCGTCTTGTTGTGCAAATAAGGTATGGCAAGTTGGACCGATGCGTATATGTACCTGATCCTACGTTGTAACTAATGAACTAACTCAATAAAATACAGTACTCTAAATGACTGATATCAACATTGGTTGATTATGAGTAAAACAGTTACATCTTGATGTCCTCACCTTATTAGCTTTTACTACATACTACACATAATATGTATGAACTATTACAGTCTAATGTAGTCTGTTTTCTAACGACAGATACAAATCCACATATTCATCACGTTATTCATAATATTTAAACAAAATTATTTAACTTCCAGTATGGGATTGTAAAGTGTGATGAATTTTATTGGAATCATGAATCGATCAATGTAAGACCACCGCTAAAAATCCAGAAGTACTGGACAGCAGTTTCGTCCTAGTGTGAGACTTCTTAGCAGTATGTTTTCATGATCCCTCACGCATGATTCGAACCCAATGATCTAGAGGTTAAGCGTTCGCACAAAACTGGGGGTTCTGGGTGTGAGTCCCGTATACGGAATTGTGTATGTTTACTGGTGAAGATCCTCATATTAGATCGAAACAGCTATCCAGTGCTTCCAGATTTTCACTGGTGATCTAATATTAGTCCGTTGATGGTTTTAATGAAAACTATTTAAATATTCTATTTCTTGGATGATAGTTCCACTATTGAAATATCTCTGTATCCGGTAATCTGAAACTTGATTCACTGTAAGCAATTGATTTTTAAAAGTATACTAGATATTAATCAAGATATATGATTGAAATCATGAGTCAGTTGAAGCTAGACCACCATTTAAAACCTGGAAACACTGGACGGCCGTTTCGTCCTAGTATGGGACTCCTCAGCAGTGCGCATCCACGATTGGTTAAAGTTAGACATTAACACTGTTGGATGCCGGCTCAGTGGTCTAATGGTTAAGTGCTCGCGCGCGAAGCCAGTAGGTCCTGGGTTTGAATCCCACGGGGTGCGGGATCGTGGATGCGCACTGCTGAGGAGTCCCATATTAGGATGAAACGGCCGTCCAGTGCTCCCAGGTTTTCAATGGTGGTCTAGCTTCAACTGACTCATGATTTCAATCTGTGAAAATTTCTAAAATCTCCACAAACCCCTTCTGACAAGATATATGAATTGAAATGTGCAGTAGCACATTATTGAAATCCATCTGGATTGTATCCAACTATTGATTGTAATAAGTTCAGAGGATCGTAGGGAATGATAAAGCCTAAGTAGTTATATCTTTTTTGTCATCAAATAATATTATATAAGAGCCATAAATGATCTGTATTCATAGAATGTAGAATGCTTCTAAATGTCATTGATAAATCAATCATTTGTGATATTGCATTTCATATGACTGTTAACTATTTGTGATCCGTTCCAAAGTTGAGTATGGATTTTCTGAGTTAAAGTAAATGCTAAACCAATAAATATTATCTACATTCATTTGATGTTTTTTTTGCTTATATCTTCCCAATGTTGTTTATGATTGCAATTGTTGGCATATATACATCCTGTTCGAATTTTCCTCGATATTGCCTTAAATCAAAAACGTTATAGGCAAAGATGAATAGTGGCATAGTGGCGATGGGATCCAGGACACGGGTTTCGTTCTATTTAAGACTCACTAGCTGAATGAGTCACAAATTCCAGAATTGATATTCACTTTGAGGCTTGAACACAGTATCGCTCGCTTCAAACGCCATCGTACTACCCACTTAGTTACTGAGTGGTGATAATCAATTGCTTGTGCAATGGGTTGAAGTTTAAATTCAAATGGTATTGTTTACTTGAAATGTTTATACATTATTTGATTCTAACAAGTTTAGTTGATATGCCAATAGATCAGTAATGAATGTGAGTAAACACATCGATAAGGATACGTAAGAGTACGTATATAGACCTCATGGAAAATATATATGACGAGATAAAAAGAAAACAAACCGCTAAGCTAGTCAAGTAACTAAGGTATTTATTTGTTTTGTTTTTTTAAGTGTTCGTAATAACAAGTTTAATTTTGCCTGATGTTCATTATGAGCCAATGAACTTGAGATGATCATTCAATAAAGTTAGACATTAGCTTGCAGTACAATTCAGAACGTACGTTTCATTCTATGTGGTACTTATTACCCAGCTTTACCTGTATGCAGTACTTGTTACTATTCAACTTTAATTTTAAAAAAAAAACATGTGACTAAATGATATAATCAATGCAATACGAGAATGGATGTTTGAATACACCTATTTTGTACACACAATAATCTAAGACAGACAACCAGAAGGATGAAGCGAAGGAAGCGAAGAGAAGAAAGAGAGAAACGAAATGACGCACAGTGAAGAAGGCATGTACGCCAAGTTCATTTAATCAAGCGGTAATCAATATTTAGTCACACAATAATAAGCTACAGATATATGATGAGTAGGAGTAGGTTGATAAGTGAATAATGAATAACGTCTAAATGTGACTACTCAAAAGGAATAGATAAATTGACTTGTCCAGAAGGTAGAATACGGTAATGTGGGTTTAATATTAGTAACCAATACTACAATCAGCATATCTTTTTGTTGTTGTAAAACATTGAACACATTAGAGAAAGACTAACAATCTAATTGTATTTACAAATTAAAATATACAGTTTAAGGTACAATATTTATCAAACTAAACATTTAACCGAATCATAATCAAAACAAATTAACAGCTTGTGAATGAGATGATAATTTATAGACGATGTTTGAGCAACGCTAGACTATCTTTATGAGTGTCCACCTAGTTACTAGGACCAAATGAGGATTACAAACCAGTGTGTAAAGAATTAAAATTATGATTTACATTTGATGGTTAAGGTTAGGGATTACATTTAGAGTTTTCATCATGAAATGACATCAGCAATAATGCTAAAACTCTATTTAGCCAAATGAATAAGTGAACTTCACACCAACATCCAAGATCTGTTACCTTATATCTGATTGGTTAGTCCATAAATTATAATCTTGCCAGCTTCTATTCAATTAACAAGAAATCTAACATATCAGTTTAAAGGTTGTGGATATTGTTAATTTTTTTATTGAGAACATGAGATGGTTGTTGTTAGACCACCACCTTTGGAAACCTGGAAGCACTAGATGGCCGATCCGTCCTATTGTGGGACTCCTCAACAGTGCGCATCCACGATCCCACTCGTGGGATTCAAACCCAGGGCCTTCAGTCTCATGTGCGAACGCTTAACCTACTGAACCATTGAGTTGGCCGACATCCAATGGTGATAGTGTCTAAATTCAACTAGTCCATGAAGTTGCGCAACCATCTTCCATTGTACTGAGGTAGATACCTGTCTCTACCCGACATGGATTAGCTCTATTATTATTATTATTATTATTATTATTATTATTATTATTATTATTATTATTATTATTATTATTATTATTATTATTAGCTTTATTCAATATTATATTATTGGTACAATATAGAATTCTCAACGCAAAGTATTTCAACAAGTTTCCGTTTCTTTCTTCTTCGTCGGTCCTGGCAATAAATATTGAGTGATCGCCAGTTAGATGTTAGCAGTCCAGTAAATGAACATCTGAATGATGTACATTCTTTTCGTTGTATATTGCCAGCAACCACATTGTCTCTTATTGAGTTTTTTGTAACTTTGACAACGAAAGGTTGTACACGTTTCAGAATAGGTTATGCGATTAAAAGACATAATGATATATTAAAACAAACAAAGAAGCAGATAACTTGTTGAAATATCTAGATAGCAGGAACAGGTAGCCCAGATGCTCAAACAGGCCGCCTTCTCACTAGAACTCCGGGAATTTTCTCACAAAGCTAGTCACTCTAATGAGCACATAGTGATTATCCATTTAGTTAGATAGATCTACATATTACAAGATCAGATCATAAAATTAAATATTGATCATATAAAATTGAATTCAAATGATTGAAATAATAAAAAAAAAACGATGAATGATTCAAACAAAATGTGACCTAATTGAAACATTGACATTACAATTAAATGGAAAAGAAATGACATGCTGTTTTATACAATCAATTCATTGATTCAATCTCTATAATATACAATCTATTAACCACTTGTCTATTATCTTTGTCACAATTTCATCACTTAATATACATCAATATTGAAGAGATTTGATTGACATTATATATATATATATAAAGTTGAGAATAAATGTTCTCTTTGTAAATTCCTATGTTGATGAAACTATTATGAGTATTAAATAAACGAAATCAAAGAAGGATTTTCATGGATATTTATTAGTGAGTTTTAATCGTTGAAATCATGAGTCAATTGAAGCTAGATCACTATGGAGAACTTGAAAGTATTGGATGATTGTTTTGTTCTAGTATGGGATTCCTCAGTTGTGCGCATCCATGATCCCAGTCCACGAGATTCGAATTTAGGACCTATCAGTCTCACACACGAACGCTTAACCACTAGAACCACGAAGTTGAGCCACCATCCATCATTGTCTTCAGTGAGTTACTATCACACAACATACCCGGTTGAACTCCTTTGGTCACTGCTTCTCAATAGAACTCCAGGATATACCTCTTGAAGCCAGTCACTAATGAGTATATGATGATTATAATCAGAAAAGGATTTATTTAAATATTATAGTAGTTTCATTGTTGAATTCATGAGTCAATTGAAGCTAGATCACTATGGAAAACTTGGAAGTATTGGATGATTATTTCGTTCCAGTATGGGATTCCTCAGTAATGTGTATCTACGATCCCATTCTACAAGATTTGAACTCAGGATCTGTCAGTCTTGCACACGAACGCTTAACCACTAGATCACTGACCCGTCGTCCAATGGTGTTAATGTCTAACTTCAACCAATCCACGTCCCATACTACGACGAAACGGTCATCCAGTGCTTCCAGGTTTTCTATGATGGTCTAGCTTCAGTTGACTCATGAATTAAACTATTAGGTAACGAAGTGTCAATCAAACCATTTTTTTACATTTTCTGTAAAGAATTCACTTTAAACTTGATTTGAACACCCAAAAATGTTCTGTAGGACCTTTAATTTTATTCACAAATACATAACTAAAGAAGAAAAAAACTTTCATAAAACCTTATTTGTGAATTGCTTTGATGCTGCCATTGAGTTTAAAGCATTCTAAGCAAAAATCGATAGGAGTTAACAATGGAGTCCAGGGAGTACTGGGTGCATAACATGATAGAGCTTTAATCGGAAGGTACTGGATTTGAGTCATAAAGTGATTATCAACTCTGGGATTCAAGTACATCTGGCTAACCAGTCTCAAATAAGACGAAACGCTTGTCCTAGATTCCACTAGTAGTCATCATACATTTCAGATTATTTATGTTAGAGTAAAGTATGTAGGGTTGCTTTTCACTAAGTTGAGTAGGTCAGCGTTTCGTGATTTTCGACTAACTATATACCAATTATCACGGTATCACCTTCATTCTATCTATTTATAATGTGGTTTTGACAGTTTAAGTTTATGGAACAAAATAAACCGAAATTCTCATGATAAAACCAATGAATGTGTTGAAAGGGATGTCAGGAGTCAAAAACAACACAACACTCAACAAGATTTCTTCTTGTTTCGAAAATACCCATAGCGATTACACATGTAATTACACAGAACTGATACAGAATTCGGTAAAAAAAAATAATAATATGTTCTCACTAGTAACTAGCTTAAAGATGGGTTTTTTTGAAGTTTGTAGCGACCTACTTTTACCAAGAGAACGTGATTCGTGTTATGGAAACAATTATTACTATAACCAATTGTACTACGGGTTGTTTTACCGTACTTGTTTGTCTAACTGTACCAAAATACATACATTCTTCCATTGATTGTGACCTTGCACGAATTCAGTTACGCTCAGTAACCACACTTGTACTCCTTTGGTACGATCTCGGTATTCTTTCGATACCACGAGAACGCCAACAAATACATCTCGACTACAGCCATCAACTGCCTTACAGGGGATGTTATCGGTTAACTGGCACGTAGTCTTTCTGTAGTGATGATCATAGTCAACCGCAACTCGACACCACACAACAAGTTCTAGTGAAAAGTTATGACCAATGGATTCGAATTCGTGTTCAGTGTGAAACAATCGATGAAGGGTTGCACAAGATTATGAATCGATTGAAGTTAGACATTAACATCGTTGAATGTCAGCTCAGTGATCTACAAGTTAAATGTCAAAGATTCATTCTATTGATCTGTAAACTTAATACATCAGAATTAATTCAAACATTAAACTAATTTTAAAAAAAAATACTTTGATTCAACTTACTTTATTCTCATAAAAATCACCTAATATTCCATTGAATTGAATAAGTGGTGTTTGATCAGCTCCTAATTCAATGCCTTGTTTACCAGCTGTTACCACAGTAAATACAAGCCAATATTGAAATTGATGTTTTGTTTTTATATTATCAGTCATATAATTTAAACTGTGAATAGATGATAAACATTGACGTTTGATTTGACTTGGTCCATCATTATCTTCATTGATGAAATTGTCAGAATATCTATGCTTATGATTTATACACATTTCAATAGTTTCATCTGAATGATCTGAATGTGGTAAATTCTCTGATTTGATCAAATAAACTGTATTATTCATATTTGTCATTATCTATTCCTTATTCTGATGTTGAATAACACTTCGAGTTCTGAAAGTAAGAAATAATCGAATGAATGTTGAGAAATGAATAAAAATATGAAAATAAATATTATCTGAATGAAGAATAATACATAACAATTTACTTTAAAAAGAGTTGAGTTATCTAAGACATTCAGGAACTTCAAATTTTTAAGTGATGCGGGAACTTAAAAAAACATGAGATTGGTGACTAATTAACTGTAATTAACATGTGCTCATTAGTGACCAGCTTCGTGAGGGAATTCTCAGAGTTCTAGTGAGAAGCCGTGACCAGTGGAGCTAATCCATGTCGGGTAGAGACAGGTATCTACCTCAGTACAATGGAAGATGGTTGCGCAGTTTCGTGGATTGGTTGATGTTAAACATTAACGCCGTTGGATGCCGGCTCAGTGGTTCCGTAGGTTAAGCGTTCGCGCGCGAGACCGAAGGCCCTGGGTTTGAATCCCACAAGTGGGATCGTGGATGCGCACTGTTGAGGAGTCCCACAATAGGACGGATCGGCCATCCAGTGCTTCCAGGTTTCCAAAGGTGGTGGTCTATCATCAATCGGTTCATGATCTCAATCAATAACTGTAAATGTCCCAATCCTATAACAGATCAGTCTCATCCTTAAAGGTCCAATTGTAACATCTCATACTGGGAATCTGCGTAACCTGGTAAGGTATCATCATCTAGAGAGGTCCAGTTCTTTCATGGTCACATTGTCATCTTACTGTCTAGCGTTACATAACATGTGACCTAGGTCAAGATCTTCCTGTCGGTAATCGGCAAGACTATAATTTATGGACAACCTTAGAACGAAACTCAAGTGACCTAGAGAACTGTTAGCCAATCAGAAAACAGTACAGAGTAAAATTATATTATACAAAAGCATAGAATTAAGGTGGATACACTTCTTTTAAATGGTTCAAAATTTGTTAAAGTTAGAAAGAGCTTTAGAGGTTTTAAAATCGTAATGCAATATGGTAGAGGAAATCATCAATATGGCTACCGAATAGTCGACCTCTGGAACCATGATAAAGTCTTAAAAACCCTTTCAGCCTCGACTACATAGTCCCGATGTTGTTTATGAGTACTTCGGCTGTTGAGTGCACAAAATGCTACTTGTGGACAACGACACGATACACATAACCAAGCCTATGTAGGAGTCTGTACGCTCTCCAATCATCCGTATATATTGTAGTACCTGGCTGCATCCAGTGTTATTGATGCTTTTATTATCCAGTTTGCAATAACTGTCATAATTTGCCTTATTCTCAATCTGGATCAAGCGAAAAAATCCTATTCTAGCAGACCTTTTTCTCGAACACATATTACATTGAAAGACAACATCATCACAGTAGTCAGCACAAGGTCTACAACTCATTGGACTACCACAAACACAAATAAAGGAACTTCTTAGTAATCCCATTTGTTGCATCCGCTCAGTTTTCACGTTTTCCCTAAAATCAGCTGTGAACCAGTTGTACGTGATCACCGAGTGCTAAAATTGACTCTGTAACCTAAAATTCCCTCAAAACGCCTCTGATTGGCTCGTCCATAAATTAGAATCTCGCCGTTACCTTTCAGGAGAAAAAAACAATTAATACATTTACTGGTTTTAGCGCATATCGAATACGTGAGGAAACAAGTGTCCAGTACGTTTAGCTTTCAATAGTTCTTCAAATGAAGCTAGTCTATGATAAAGATTAACTTTATATTGACTAAATCTATAAAAAACAATTTTCGGGAAACATCAATGCTTACTTAAATAATGGAGAAAATGAGTTGTTCGATTAAGTATCATGTCAATATGGAACGTTTCTGAAGTTCAATAGTTTCAAACCACGACGGAAGTTAGTGGGAATTTATTTTGGATGGAATGGTTGAACATTTATCCGCATTTCGGTAAAAATAACATGTTCTCTCACTAGTGACTAGCTTCAAGATAGGTTTATTTTTGAAGTTCTAGTGAAAAGACGTGACCAATGGAGTCTAAATCATGTCGGATGTGAGACAGTTATCCACCTTATACAATGTATGAAGGATTGTATGACATCATGAATCGACTGAAGTAAGACATTAACACCATTGAATGTCGGATCAACGTTCTACAGCTTAAATGTTAGCGAGCAAAACCGAAGGTCCTGAGGTTTGGAGTTCCATATGAAGGATCATAAATACGCACTACCGAGTAGTCCCATACTAGAACTTAACAGTCTTTCAGTACTTCCATATTTTTAATAGTGGTCTAACTTTTAATCAACTCATGAATTCAACTACAAAAAAATAACTTTATTCAAATTTTAATCTGATCATGATTATGTTGGGATATTTCATGGTATACCAACCATAATCAAATACCTTTAAGTTGACGTGTAAAATATTTATGATCATTTCAACAAATTTTACTATTACACATAATGCTGACTAGTGTTGGGAATGATTGAGAGAAAGTTAGGAGGGGGCGGCAACATCAAAACGAGGGCATCAGTCGTTCAAGTCACTAAATTCTGATGTGAACCATGTTGATAGATACAGGCTACTTGGTTGGGGTCCCCATGACTATATATATAACATAATGATGAAAAGTAGATCATCATTATTATATTGTTTCACAGATTGAAATCATGAGTCAGTTGAAGCTAGACCACCATTGAAAACCTGGAAGCACTGGACGGCCGTTTCGTCCTAGTATGGAACTCCTCAGCAGTGCGCACCCACGATCCTGCACCACGCGGGGCTCGAACCCAGGACCTACTGGCTTCTCGCGCGCAGCACTTAACCACCAGACCACTGAGCCGGCATCCAACGGTGTCAATGTCTAACTTCAATCAATCCATTTCAGGTTTTCAATGGTGGTCTAGCTTCAACTGACTCATGATTTCAATCTGTGAAATTTCTAAAATCTCCACAAAACCCATTCTGATATTATATTGTTGTTTATTTTTGTGCTTTTCTCTACTTTGTTTGTTTTTCTCATTTTCAATAAATGACCTTATCAATTATTATTATCATTATCATTATGATCAATTAAAAAAAACTTAATTTTTATTGTTTTCTATTCATTATTGATTTATTGACTAATCGATTATTACATAATGTTGATTAGTACTAAATAAGGACATAATAAATTAAAATGTGTCATGATAATCTATTTAAAAAATATTAGTGTATTCAAATAATTGATCGATTAATTAATTAATTGATCGATCGATCGATCGATGATTGATTGATTGATTGATTGATTGATTGATTGATTATTGTTAACATAAATATTATTCATTATCAATATCATTTCATCTATTTAAATGATACTGTAAAACAAAACAAAATTGTATAATTTGTGCTACAAACACTTCAACTTGAATCAAAATAAATGAAAGAATAATTTAATGTCAGAAGGGGTTTTGTGGATATAATAGTAATATGTTGATATTATGAATCAATTGAAGCTAGACTACCATGAAAAACCTGAAAGCACTGGATAGCCATTTTGTCCTACTGTAGGACTATTCAGCAATGTGCATCCACGATCCTGCCTGCGGGATTCGAACCCAGGTCTCGTGGCCAGTGGGGCTAATCTGTGTCGGGTAGAGACGGGTATCTACTTCAGTAAAATGGAAGACGGTCGTGCAATTTCATGGATTGGTTGAGGTTAGACATTAACATCATTGGATACCAGCTGGTTCAGTGTTCTAGTAGGTTGAGCGTTCATGCGTGAGACTGGAAGACCTGGGTTTGAATCCCACGAGTGGGATCGTAGATGCACATTGCTGAGGAGTCTGACAATAGAACGAAACGGCCATCCAGTGCATTTAGGTTTTCAATGGTGGTCTAACATCAATCGGTTCATGATTTCAATCAATAACTTAATAGTCGCCATGACCCTATACTGATAATAACCATGTGCTCACTATTGACTAGCTTCGTGAGGAAATTCTCGGAGTTTTATTGAGAAGCCGTGACTATTGGAGCTAATAAATCGGTTCATGATCTCAATCAATAATAATATAATAGTTGAATAGATGAGTTGATATAAACTAAATCATCATTTAAAACTTGATAGCATTGAACAGCCGTTTTCTACTAGTATAGGATTCCTCAGCAGTGCGTATCCACTGTTCCGCATGTGGGATTCAAACTGAGAACCTTCACTCCTGCTCACCAACACTTCACGTGTAAAGCACTACTGAGTCGGTATTCTTCAACAGTGTTAATATCTAACTTCAATCAATCTATAATTTTGCACAACCCTTCATCCATTGTCTCTGCAATATGATACCAATAAGTATACTGTCGTTCAGTATTTAAGTAATTTTAAGAAACTGTACTTATCAAGTGTAAGACATAAGTATAAACTCATAAATGGAAACGGAGCTTCGAACATTTACTTAATCATAGATTATTTATCATTATTTATTTATTTAAACACAAATATTGGTACAAGGAGGCACCAAATACATATGCGCCACATAAATGATTTGATTTGTGTGAGGGCTATGATACTACCTGGGTAGCCAAACCGAAACACGTGGTTTTCTTAGGGGGGCAAACCCAACTAGATTTAATCAAGCGGTAATCAATATTATTAGTCAAACAAAACTAAGTTACAAATATGTAATGAATAGGATAAGAAGTAACTCCACCTGGAGTCCCTACGGGGGTTACTGCCAGTCTCAAGCCCGGATAAAGGAGGAGGGTTGGGCATGGGGATAGCGACCCCATCCCGTAGAAAACTAACTCGCTAAAAAAACGCTAACCAGAAAGTAAGTAAGTAAGTAAGTAAGTAAGTAAGTAAGTAAGTAAGTAAGTAAGTAAGTAAGTAAGTAAGTAAGTAAGTAAGTAAGTAAGTAAGTAAGTAAGTAAGTAAGTAAGTAAGTAAGTAAGTAAGTAGTAAGTAAGTAAGTAAGTAAGTAAGTAAGTAAGTAAGTAAGTAAGTAAGTAAGTAAGTAAGTAAGTAAGTAAGTAAGTAAGTAAGTAAGTAAGTAAGTAAGTAAGTAAGTAAGTAAGTAAGTAAGTAAGTAAGTAGTAAGTAAGTAAGTAAGTAAGTAAGTAAGTAAGTAAGTAAGTAAGTAAGTAAGTAAGTAAGTAAGTAAGTAAGTAAGTAAGTAAGTAAGTAAGTAAGTAAGTAAGTAAGTAAGTAAGTAAGTAAGTAAGTAAGTAAGTAAGTAAGTAAGTAAGTAAGTAAGTAAGTAAGTAAGTAAGTAAGTAAGTAAGTAAGTAAGTAAGTAAGTAAGTAAGTAAGTAAGTAAGTAAGTAAGTAAGTAAGTAAGTAAGTAAGTAAGTAAGTAAGTAAGTAAGTAAGTAAGTAAGTAAGTAAGTAAGTAAGTAAGTAAGTAAGTAAGTAAGTAAGTAAGTAAGTAAGTAAGTAAGTAAGTAAGTAAGTAAGTAAGTAAGTAAGTAAGTAAGTAAGTAAGTAAGTAAGAAGTAAGTAAGTAAGTAAGTAAGTAAGTAAGTAAGTAAGTAAGTAAGTAAGTAAGTAAGTAAGTAAGTAAGTAAGTAAGTAAGTAAGTAAGTAAGTAAGTAAGTAAGTAAGTAAGTAAGTAGTAAGTAAGTAAGTAAGTAAGTAAGTAAGTAAGTAAGTAAGTAAGTAGTAAGTAAGTAAGTAAGTAAGTAAGTAAGTAAGTAAGTAAGTAAGTAAGTAAGTAGTAAGTAAGTAAGTAAGTAAGTAAGTAAGTAAGTAAGTAAGTAAGTAAGTAAGTAAGTAAGTAAGTAAGTAAGTAAGTAAGTAAGTAAGTAAGTAAGTAAGTAAGTAAGTAAGTAAGTAAGTAAGTAAGTAAGTAAGTAAGTAAGTAAGTAAGTAAGTAAGTAAGTAAGTAAGTAAGTAAGTAAGTAAGTAAGTAAGTAAGTAAGTAAGTAAGTAAGTAAGTAAGTAAGTAAGTAAGTAAGTAAGTAAGTAAGTAAGTAAGTAAGTAAGTAAGTAAGTAAGTAAGTAAGTAAGTAAGTAAGTAAGTAAGTAAGTAAGTAAGTAAGTAAGTAAGTAAGTAAGTAAGTAAGTAAGTAAGTAAGTAAGTAAGTAAGTAAGTAAGTAAGTAAGTAAGTAAGTAAGTAAGTAAGTAAGTAAGTAAGTAAGTAAGTAAGTAAGTAAGTAAGTAAGTAAGTAAGTAAGTAAGTAAGTAAGTAAGTAAGTAAGTAAGTAAGTAAGTAAGTAAGTAAGTAAGTAAGTAAGTAAGTAAGTAAGTAAGTAAGTAAGTAAGTAAGTAAGTAAGTAAGTAAGTAAGTAAGTAAGTAAGTAAGTAAGTAAGTAAGTAAGTAAGTAAGTAAGTAAGTAAGTAAGTAAGTAAGTAAGTAAGTAAGTAAGTAAGTAAGTAAGTAAGTAAGTAAGTAAGTAAGTAAGTAAGTAAGTAAGTAAGTAAGTAAGTAAGTAAGTAAGTAAGTAAGTAAGTAAGTAAGTAAGTAGTAAGTAAGTAAGTAAGTAAGTAAGTAAGTAAGTAAGTAAGTAAGTAGTAAGTAAGTAAGTAAGTAAGTAAGTAAGTAAGTAAGTAAGTAAGTAAGTAAGTAAGTAAGTAAGTAAGTAAGTAAGTAAGTAAGTAAGTAAGTAAGTAAGTAAGTAAGTAAGTAAGTAAGTAAGTAAGTAAGT